CAGGAAGCTAATTAGTAATGGTCAATTATGATCACCAATATTCTCAGTATATGAAAAATACATCCATTGGCCTTTTTGGCTTTGGACATCCCAGAGATATCACAATCACTAGGACTAACCCACTTGGGTTAAGATGCAGCGTTGTATTCAGCTCTCTTGCAAGGAAATAGACAGCTTCAAAACAACCCATGTGAGGGAGGGGGGCTCTGAAAGGTGCAGGCCAAATGTACACAGTAATTAGAGTCTGCATTTAGGAGCATGAAGTTAGATGAGGAACAATCTGAAAGAGGATCATTTACTGGGAAGTAACTCGGGGGTCACAGAAACTTGGGGAAAATTAAGTAGGACAGAATAATTGATATGGTAGGGTGATAAGACTATCACTGAGCCAGACCTCACAGAAGGGTGAATGGGTTGGCACCACTGGATGTGAACAGTATATTCAGAGGTTTTCATGAGGCAAGAACCGAGCACTGTGCACTGTTCACTTTGACAATTCTGTTCAAGACTTTTTTCAGTTTATTCCTAGAGATGCATAAAGATCCTGCTTAAATCAGCTCCTGCAGCTCAAGGCACCCCTTCCTGGAGGGCTTCGCGTCTTCAGGATGTCCTGCAGCACTCCCATTCCTCCTCCCTGCGAAGTTGGGCCCGAGGTGTCGCCTGGGATTTTAATTCTAGGTGGGTGGTATAAACACAAGGAAGTGTCTCAAATTTTAACTTTAAGACCTTCCTAAAAACGATCCCATTATCAGCCAAATTTGTGTTTGTTTCCAATGAAAGAGGAAAAATAACAAAGAAATACTTAATAGGCACAGAGTCTAGTCAATGCTTACTCTTGAGAATTGGTTAATTAGCTCAGGTCTGTTTTGGAGGTAAGGTAGTATTAGGGGATTATAGGAAGTAAAAGTCTTCTACTTGTCCTAAATAGCTTTTAGAAATTCAGAACCACCTGCTTTTTGTTTATTAAATTAGATGTATGAAGTAACTCCTTTGTGGGGCACTCCCAGCTATTTCTCAAGTCTGTACTGAATTAGGGGGTAGAATGACATGATTATATAAATCATATTTCACTGTTTTTCTCCCTCACATACCTTTACTTAGTACTCATTAGATCACGAGATAGAATGATTCTAGTATCTCTTTTAATTCTTCTGACTGGGGTTTATGTTTTCTAGAGATCTTGGATCTAAAAGACCACAGGATTCCTTAGAACTACTTTTAAAAGCAAAAGGCAGGAGTTCCATTTCCAGCATGACAATGTGAAGAGCTCTACAGATCGGCTCCCCAGTAAAATTAGTGAAAATTATAAAAAGATATTCATTTCAAGTCTCTGGAAATGGTCCTGGGTGCATACAGCAAATGAACAAATATTTGAGAAAATCTACTAAAGCTCAGTGAACAGTGAGGGGTTTGAGCCAGGACCTGCTGCTTCCCTCTCCCCTCCCAGGTCAATGGAAATGGAAACTTTACTCCAGATGGGTGCAGGCAGGGTTCCTCTCCCCAAAGCCTCCAGTTGGAGAGCCATCTTCCCAGAGGGGCAAGACATCAACATTTCTCATCCTTCCCCCAGCTACCTGTTTCTGAAGCTAAATTCCAGAGATGTGTGGTCAAGAGGTGGAGGATCTCTTCTGCCAGCCCCAGTTTGTGGGATGGAAGCTCTACCTTGGGCAAAGAGCCACTGAGAATACTGGGGCCCCAGTTGCCCTTGCCCCAGATCATAGTGGTGGTTCCACGCTGGGAGAGGCAGGCTGAGAAGACCTGAGGCTACTCTTCTCCTCCTCCACTGAGTGCTCAGTTCCTAGAGTGGGGATGTCACTTGGAAAGAAGTGTGCATTGTTTCACTCACAGTTCCACGGCTTAGAGATTTTGCCTGGGAAGAAAAGCAGGCCATAAAACAGATAGACCCTAATTTCTTCCCAGAGGAATTGACTTCATTTGCAACTATGTATGGAGAAGTTCAAGCCTAACATTACTCTCAAAAACAAAGGAGGTTGTGGTGAAAGTCAATTGGGATGAGATTGGTAGACTCTCTGGAGATATAAGGTCAAGTGTAGGTTATCTAGTTTACCTGAATCAGGGAAAGGACAGCTCAGGGGAACCCTCCTGAGGCCAGAACAAATCACAGTGACACTGGGAACTGTCCCTTCAAAAGAGCCGAAATTTGATGGACTTGGTCTTTGGAGAAATTCATTCCCTAGGGCATTGTTGAAACCAATAGAGCAATCAGTCTGCAATCAGTAGAGCTTAACAGCTGAGTGTGGTCAGGGTAGGAGACAGAGCCCTGTCCAAACTATTGTCATCAGTGGGTGACTGTAGGCACACTCAGGGCTAAGGCTTCACGCTCGGGAGAGTGGCGGGAAGGGGAAGAGGAGAAGAGAGATTTGACTTCACTAAAATAATCCAGCCAGTCTCTAAACAAATAACCAAGCAAATAGAAACATCCCCCCAGGGGTGGGAAGAGAGACCAGTATCCAGAGTTGCTACAATATATTTTCCAAAATATCCAATTTCCAACAAAATATTTGTGAGACATGCAAAGAAACAGGAAGCTATGACCCAGACACAAGAAAAAAAGCTGGCAACAGAAACTGCCAGCTGTTAGTTTTAACAGACAAGGCCTTCAAAATAGCCATTACAAATACATTCAAAGAACTACAGGAAATGACCGTTAAAGAAGTAAGGTAAGGTAAGATGACAACATTGTATCGAATAGAGAATATTAATAAAGAGATAGAAATTATAAAAAAAGGAAATTCTGGAGTTGAAAAGTACACTAACTGAAATGAAAAATTCACTAGGGGCCTCAACAGTATATATTTAAACTGGCAGAAGGAAAAAATATTCGAAGAAAAGAGCATTTGAAGAAAGATCAGTAGGCATTATGGCAGACATAAATCCAACTATATCAAAAACAACATTAAATATAAATTGATGAAACAATCCAATCAAAAGGCAGAGATTATCAAATTGGATGAAAAAACAAGGTCCCATGATATCCTTTCTACAGGAGACTTTAAAGATACAAAATAGATTGAAAGTAAAAAGATGGAAAAAATATATCATGCAAGTGACAACCACAAAAAAGATGGAGTGGCTATACTAATATTAGACAAAATAGACTTTAAAACAAAAAATATTACTAGAGATAAAAGGAGACATTTTATAATGATAAAAGGGTCGATCAATCAGGAAGATATAACAACTGCGTATACGCATCTAATAACAGAGCACCAAAATACGTGAAACAAAAACTGACAGAAATAAAAGAAATAGACAATTCAGCAATAGCTAGTGATGACTTCAATACCTTACTTTCAATAGTAGACCGCTAGTGTTGAAATAAATTTCTAAGCCCAAGATGGAGTCACTCCTGCCCAGGGTGCCACATCAACAAACCAAAACTTAGATTTTCATGTCCCCGTAAACATTCCACTTAACCAGAAAGGCAGTATATCCCGTCAATCCTCAAACGCCAAGCTAGCTCTGGGCTCTCTACTTACTTCCTTGTTTCTTATCCTTTATTCTATAAAAGCTTCCTGCCTTATGCCCCATTTTGCAGTTCTCCAAACGGAGGCTGTCCGTTGCATTAAGTGTTAGCTTGTATCACCTAAATTGTCTTCTTTAATCATTTTTTAACACCCTGTAAATACGTTACTTTTACTTTATTTACAGATCTTTAAGTTGATGTTAGATGGACATCTGTATCTTTTTTTATAATAGTTTCCTTGGTGCTATTATCAGAGAGGAACACAGCTAGATGAAGCATAACTTAGATCTACTGTGATCTTTTTTTAAAAATTGTGGTAAAATATACATTACATAAAATTTACTATTTTAACCCCTTTTGAGTGTACAATTCAATGAAGTAAATCTCCTTGTTGTGCAACCATCCATTTCCAGAACTTCTTCATCATGTGAAACTGAAACTCTGTACCCATTAAACAATAATTCCCCATTCTCTCTCTCCCCGGCAGGCCTCGGTAACTACCATTCTACCTTCTTCTCTAGGAATTAGACTGTTCTAGGTATCTCATATGAGGTATCTAAGTGAAATCATACAATATTTGACCTTTTGAGTCTGACTGACTCACTTAATGTTTTCAAGGTCTGTGCATGTTGTAGCATGTATCAGAACTTCATTACATTTTATAGCCGAATAATATTCCATTGCATGCGTATATCACATTTTGTTTATCTATTCATCTGTTGATGGACATTTGAGTTGTTCCCACCTTTTGGCTATTGTGAATAATGCTACAAGATTGGTGTACAAATATCTGTTCAAGTCCCTGCTTTCAATTCTTCTGGGCACATATCTAGAAGTGGATCAGAAGGTGATTCTACGTTTGTTTGAGAAACCACCATACTGTCTTCCATAGTGGTGCACCTCTATGCATATGGTCCTTTTTATGTTGTTAAATTATGTGAATCCACTGTTTGCTGTAGGAATTGACACTCGGATACACGGAACCCATACAGAAAGTACAACTCAGCTAAAATTGTATGATGTATCATAGAGTGGCCTGCCAAACACTTCTAATTAGCATGTTGATTAGTTACCAGTGTCCAGAGCTTTAGGGGTATGTGTGTTAGTGGAGTGGGGCAGAAAAACGGGTGTTGGGGCAGTCAGAAAAGTAGCAAAAATAATTCTACATCCTGCAATGCTATTTCAGTTTGGCTCATCTGACGCCGAGTTTTGGAGGCAACGAATAATAAAGATGCAGTGAGGAGGAGAGAAAGGTAGAGGAGTGTGGTAAGGTTAGACACAGGACTCGATCAGTCTGCTTCTTAACTATTTGGTGTAACATTAATTTCAGTGAGTTTTCCTTGCTCCCCCACTTTATCTCACATATTCTCGGAGCCTCTTTCCTGTCTAAAGTTTTTATAATGTACAACGCATGCAACTGACTTATAGCTTTTAAACAAATTGAACCTGTCGGTGAAATACAAATGTACAATGGACTTAAACATCTCTGGGAGGGTAGAGAGAAAGAGACAGATTGAAGCACTTCATTACTTTATTCTTCCTCCCTCAGACCAGTCGCCTCCGGTAGCCGTGGGAAATCACCGTGCTTTGGTATCTGGAGAGAGGAGAGTGCAAAGGCATGTCTGCAACTTTTGCTTCTGGTGGGCCTTTCTTCAAGACAACTTTACGGTCTTCCCCATGGCAAAGCCTTTCGCTGTGATTCAAAAACAAAGAGTCTTCTAAAGGGCCAGCATAGATCCCACACGCCTCCGCATGCTAAGAGAAAAAAAAAAAGTCTGCTGAATATCACACCAGACACCACTTTATTAGATTAAGATGGAAGTTGGCCAGTAGTTTTCTAACTGTCCCTGTCGAGAAGGAAGGTCTAGTGGACAGAGCAACATCCCTTTTTTAAAGCCACGCTCTCTCGCCGGAGTCTTCCGACCGCCAGGAGGCGCGGCGGTGTGGACCGCAGACTATGAAGATGAACTTGGAGCCAGATCATAGAACGTTAGCTTCACAACTTACGTGACCTTGTACAGGTCATTTACTCCCCCACCCCTGCCCACCAAGAGACTGAGTTTTCTCAAATATAAAATGGGAATTATCAAAGGATTCTTTGAGTGTTGAATAAAACATTATATGTGAATGAAAAACCTTTTGCCAACTACTAGGTATTAAATAGATATAAAGTATGCTGCTGCTGCAGCTGCTGCTGGATAAACAACAGCTACTTGAGGTTACTGCCTTCAGTACACATTCACTTCTGACTGTTCAATAGGGCTGAATAACATTCTGGCCTGGTCTTGGGGCGCAGCCCCATCTCTTCTATGCTGTGTTCTCCTTTTTATCTTGTTAAGTGGTCTGTCATCTCCTTCAGGAAAAATGGTGAGAATAAATAGAAGGAAGGAAAGCATAGTTAGCATTTACTCAGTGTACATCCACTCCATTTAATTCTCATTTAATTTTCACTTTTTCTCTGTAAGGTAAAATGTTCCATATACCAGTCACTGATTATATTTTATTTATTTTTGCTGAGGAAGATTAGCCCTGAGCTAACATCTGTTGCCAGTCTTCCTCTTTTTTTACTTGAGGAAGGTTAGCCATGAGCTAATGTCTGTGCCAATCTTTCCTCTATTTTACATGTGGGTTGCTGCCACAGCATGACTGACAAGTTGTGTAGGTCCATGCCCAGGATCTGAACCTGCAAACTGGGGCCACCAAAGCGGAGCATGACGAACTTAAACACTACGCCACAGGGCCAGCCTACTATTTATATTTTAAAAATTGTTAGGAACATTGTCAACTAAATTGCAAAAGTGAAATAGCTTATGAAAAAATTATGCTGAATTATAACTCTAAAGAATAAGGTCAAGAATAAAAGTGACGTTGTGATGCATTCAAAACAGTTTTTCATTATTGACTTCAACTCAAAGTTTACACCCTATAGTTCTAGTAAACGAAAAAGATAAAGTCAGTATAATATTGTCACCGTGCTAAAGCTATTTAGGACTTTGAAAATGACTTGATAAGCCACTACATTACATGAAATACAGCCCAATATTAAGATTATAGAAAGTCTTAACAACTATATAAATTTGATATTTAAGTCCGTTAGCTAAGTCTTGATTTCCTTGGTTTTATCTTTGTTTTCAAAATATCAGATAAAAATACATATAAAATAATCATCTCAGGGAAAATGGCAGCTTCATTTATTACATCACATATGTGTATTTTATAAGAAAATAATTATGCCATATTTTTGTGATTTATTTTACATATAATATTCATATTTTGTAATATCATCTGTCTTGGCAAAGTATATTCTTATTCAACATTAATTGCTTATCCATTATAAATTTGCAAATTAAACACATTTCTTTCTAGGAATTCTAACTTGAAATCTTCTCTTGTAGTCTGATTATTACATTATATTCTATTCTCCTTTAGAGAAACAACTTACCTTTTCACAAGTGAATGGTCAATCTGAATTTGGATAATGTTTTGAAACTACTAACTGAATGGGCAACCAGTCTCATCTGTAAATCTAGCAAAGTGGTCCCATAGCTCTCAGGCTGAATGTGCAATACAACTTTAAAAATGCTGTAGGTTTTTGGGGTTTTTTTGGCTGAGGAAGATTCACCCTGAACTAACATTCACTGCTAATCTTCCTCTTTTTGTATGAGCCGCCGCCACAGCATGGCCACTAACAGACAAGTGGTATAGGTCTGCACCTGGGAACTAAACCCAGGCCATCAAAGTGGAATGCACTGATTTAACCACTAGGCCACTGGGGCTGGCCTACTGTACTGTAGCTTTACTATTCATGGCACCTACTTCTGATGAGCTTCTTAACAACTATGAGTTAGCATTATGTAGAGGAAAAGGTAGACATATGGTCCTGAAATCTTTCGGTCTACATCTATTTTAAGTTCATAACTGGGTTATTTGAATAGGTATTGCTATTTGACTTTTGCTTGCAAGTTTATGTGAAAGCGCATCAAATAGGTTTTTGTCAGAGAATAGAATGGTGGCTGCCAGGCCCTGGGGGGAGGGGACATGGAGAGATACAAGTCAAAGGGTACAAACTTTCAGTCATAAGAAGAATAAGCTCTGAGGATCTAATGTTCAGCATGGTGACTATAGTTAATAATATGGTAATAGATACTTGAAAGTTGCTGAGAGCAGATCTTAAGCATTCTCACCACAAAAAAAGAAAGTTAACCATGTGAGGTGATGAATATGTTAATTATCTTGATCTTGGTAATTATTCCACAATGTATATCACATTATCACATTGTACACTTTAAATATATACAATATTTGTCTATTATTCCTCAATAAAGCTGGAAAAAATTAAAAATAGCTTTTGTACAGTTATATATGTCTATTCATAGATATATTAAATAGTGTAGGCTTTTTATTATGGATGTTTATAGGAAAATACCTTCAGATTCACATTCCTGAATTTCATGTTTTCTTTCCAAGGCATAACGTAACGTCCCGGGATCAGCCTTTGCTTAAATGAAAACCGTGGCAAATGAACCTCACTATACCTGAAGATTAAGAAAGCAAGAAGGGTATCTTGTGAGTTAAATAGAATAATTTTAGCATCCTCTAGGGAATGCAGGCAGTTGTGCTGTGTCCATGAGGTCTGGACCGCCACAGCTGGACAGTGCTGTGCCATGGTTTGAGGCTCACTTAACGATAATCAACCCACTAAATCCCCAAGTATCACCAAGATCAAGAGTCTGGACTTGATGCCTGGACAGCCAACTGCATACTGTCCTTTACAATTTGACCCTGATGTTCATTTCAATCTGATTTTAAGGGAGAAGGCAGCGCACCATGATCTGCCTCAGGCCTACCCACTGCCTAAAGGAATCTCTAGCCAGTCAAAAAAACCAGTAATTTATTTAGCTTCTGAATTTAGTACATGCTCTACACTCAGGTCAAACTTGCCTTCCCTGCACATACATTGTTTCCCTCTGGAACATAAAGTTTGCTATATAGATGCCAAGGGGAAGCACAAAATTGTCCTCATCAGTGTAGCACCTGGATTGCAAAAAAGACCCCCAAAACCCAGAACCCTTAAGTCCTCACTTAGTAGCAGGCTTATATGAATTTTCATCAGAACAGTTGTTGACAAGTTTAGGTAAGACAGGACAAGTGTCTTTTCCTAAAGCCATCACTGCCAGTAGTCACAGGAATTCTCATCTAGAACTTCACTCACTAGTCTAATGATGACGACATTGCTGCCTCAGATGTAACAATGTTTTGCTAACTTCATAGCAACCCATTGCAGTTACATTAGCATTTTGATTTCAAGAGTGCAGAGCTTAGAGCTATTTTCAGTGTTTTTTTTCTTTTTACCCCTTCTTAACACATCCTTATCATGAACAATTAAAAGGTGAGGATGCTTGCAGTCTTGACATAGCAGAAAATGTAGAGGACTAAACAATTATTCACAAATAATCACTTCATATTAAGATCCTGAATTTGCCCTTAGCTGATTTCCCTCTAAATACTCCGTATGGTTGATATATGTCCCATTTATGCTTCGCCACTTATTATTTAGACACACACTTTAAGAGTGTAAATCAGGGGCCGGCCCTGTGGCTGAGTGGTTGGGTTTGTATGCTCCACTTTGGTGGCCCAGGGTTTCAGCAGTTCAGATCCTGGGTGCAGGCCTAGCACTGCTCATCAAGCCATGCTGAGGCAGCATCTCTCATAGCAGAGCCAGAAGGACCTACAACTAGAATATACAACTATGTACTGCGGGCTTTGGGGAGAAGGAAAAAAGAAAAAGATTGGCAACAGATGTTGGCTTAGGTGCCAATCTTTAAAAAAAAAAAAGTGTAAATCAAATTTGCTTAAACCCAAACCAATTCAACCCACTTTATCCCCTAAGATTTGAGTCATATTGCAGGTGATTTCAGATTACAAAAATTCATTTTAATAAGGCAAGATTATGAGTGAGGATGAGCACCTGAACTATTTAAGGACAGAGAGGTGGAGTGTTTTTGTTGTCAATCCTACTAGCCAACAAGTAGGATAATGTTAGGCTGAGCAGGAATTACTGCAAGATGTACTGGTTTGGTGAGACTATTAACTGAACACAAGTTTGGATAGGCATTCCTAGATCTGGACAGCCAGAAAGGTTTAGAGCAGAATAATTTTAATAGACAAAATTCTTTTTAATTAATTAACTCGTTTTCGAGGAAGATCAGCCTTGGGCTAACTACTGCCAATCCTCCTTTTTTTTGCTGAAAAAGACTGGCCCTGAGCTAACATCCATTCCCATCTTCCTCTACTTTATACGTAGGATGCCTACCACAGCATGGCTTTTTGCCAAGCGGTGCCATGTCCGCACCCAGGATCCGAACGGGCGAACCCCAGGCTGCCGAGAAGCAGAAGGTGCGAACTTAACCGCTGCGCCATTGGGCCGGCCCCAATAGACAAAATTTTAAAGAACTTTAAAAATTGAAGTGTCAGTTTCTATACACAACATTAGGATGCAGTATGAACCAGAAATCTGTGTGGTTTCCAAATGTTAAGGAAGCACTATTGATCAAAATGAACCAGGAAGGTGGGGGATGGTGCAATTCATTTAACGAAAATAAAGTAGCCTCAGGCATTAATACCCTTCAAAACCCAATATTTTCACTAGAAAAACAAGCAGTATTTACATGAATACGTGGCATTTATAGTTCTACATGTTGATTATTTTTCGAATGTACTATAACTTTAAAATCACTTCTCATAAATAATGAGGAACAATATTCAGTTAGCTATTTAAAATATTTTTTTCCTTGGTTATAGCAATTTTTATGAAAGAATATTTGAGATTAAAAGATAAAATCACTTGAAACTCATTAAGGACTGCCAAAATTCTAATTTTATTTTTGTAGTCTTTTATGAATAAAAAGCAACCGATAACCATTTTCCTTTTCTTTTCCCACTTAGATCCTCAGATCCCACTTCAATGACCACTTTAGGGACTATGGAAGATTTCAAGTACACCGTCGGCAAAGAACAGCCTATAATTGCTTCCTACATATTTTTTCTTAATCTTTTTTATAAACTATAGTCAACTCTTGGAACATCGTAAGTAAACTACTTATTTCCTTCAATAAAAATGCATAACTTCAAACTTCATGCAGATGTGACATTTTTAATATCTAACTTCCTTAACATAAGGTAAAACAGGCTTAGGCAGGCTGCCACTGGGAATTTTTTAAATGTCCATGGTAATTACACAGGTATGGATCACATTCAGAATTTAGTATATGACCAAGTTAATTAAGAAGTCAAAACAAAGTTAAAGTTAAGAATCAATACTTCTTTGAAAAACTTCTGATGTTTATTTACTTCTGGACATAAGTGGGAAAAGCCATCGGTATAAACCTATTTTAAAATTGCCTAAAAGTGCTTAGAGCACAGAAAACGTAAATTTGAATACACTTGTAATAGCTGAACGATCTATGTCTTCTTAGGATCTTTTAATGGAATGTTTTGAAACCGATCATAACTCACTGCAAAGACAAATCAGAAAAAGAAAACAAACTTTTAAATGGCATGTTATAATGACCTGGACTAAACTGATTATCAACTAGTAATTATTAGCACATGCAACAGAATGAGAAACTAAATCCTCCACTGTATACTTTTCAGTATTTTCTCAGACATAAGACATTTTTACATGTTTCTACCAATCGCATTCACCTCCCCACATATTCGATTTTATTTAAAACAAGAAAATGGTTCTTTTCAGATTTTTATGTTGATCAGTGCAAAGTAAAATGAAGCAACCTCAGTAGAAATGGTTTATTACAATGTTATTTTAGAAAGACATTTCTCAAAATGTACTAAAAGATATCCAAATCATGAGAATGATCAACTTCAATGGCTTCCTCCGCATCCAACTTTGTCTCTCCATGTCCTTCCTGCGATTCATCAAGAGAGGCCAGGGCCTCATTTGTGTCACTTGCGAAAGTTTCTCGTGATGTATCATCTTCTTCTTGAAAATTTAGACTTTTAATGGCTTGTTTCATCTTTTTCCCCAACACCTGTGTTCTCCTCTTCCTAGCAGCTTTTTTATTTTCATATTCTTTTTGATTTTCAACGTAGAAAATGTCCTACAATAAAGGAATAACTTGGGTAAATAAGAACTATCATTTATTAGAAGTTATAAGTTTGTTTCTTTAAATTCCACTTCTCACAAAAACAAAGTAAATATTATTGTTAGACTCATAATTAGAGACAGAGTCCAAGACATTAAATAAGTCCCCACTGCAAGCAGAGGATGAAGCTATGATTCAAATTCACCATAGTGTTAGGTCTAGGGCCCATGCTTATTCTACCACTCTGTAGTTAAAATTTTCTAAATGGAAAGATACAGTAGGAAAATCATGTTGTTTAGGATTTAAATAAAATATAATCTATCATTAAAAAACAGAAGTCTTTGGAATAAAGATATACTAACTTTGAAATGTCACCACAATCATACGTGATTGCCCGTACTGAGAACCTGAGCCATGCCTGAATTGTGACTGAGCATGATCACGTAATCTACACAATGCAAGAAAATTCCACCCCTTAAAAAACATTACTGTCATTAATGTGTGAGAATGTAAATCTTTGTCAAAAACTTTTATCACAAGGCATAAAAATAATATAGCCAGCACTGCAACACATTCCAGAATGCCTGAAATGGGATTTTAAAGCATGAAAGTAAGAGATTCTTCTAATATAGGGTTTCTCAACCTTGGCACTACTGAAATTCCAAGCTCTGTAGTTCTCTGTGGCGGCCGTCTGCTGCGTGCACTGGAGGGCACCTGGTCTCTACCCACTAGCACATACCAACCTCACCCCCAAACTGTGAAAGTCAAAAACATCTCCAGACAAGGCCAAACGTCCCGTGAGAGGCAAAACCGCCAGCAAATGAGAACTGTTCAAGTAGAAAATACATTTGCATTGAACTATTAAATGGAAAAACATAAAATAACATCTGGGACCCTGACAGAGCAGATAAATATAGTTTCCGAGGGTACAAAAGAGTAGGTCAGGGATCTAAAGAGAAGGCTAAATGACTCTGCTACGACAGAGAAGGTTCAAAGGTTTAAAAGAGAAGCTAGTATAGGCAGGACACACTTCCGACATCCTATTCTCTCTCTTTTCTTTTCTTTTTTTTTTAAGGAAGATTAGCCCTGAGCTAACAGCCGTGCCCATCTTCCGCTATTTTTTTTTTTTTTAAAGATTTTTATTTTTTCCCTTTTTCTCCCCAAAGCCCCCCAGTACATAGTTGTATATTCTTCGTTGTGGGTCCTTCTAGTTGTGGCATGTGGGATGCTGCCTCAGCGTGGTTTGATGAGCAGTGCCATGTCCGCGCCCAGGATTCGAACCAATGAAACACTGGGCCACCTGCAGCGGAGCGTGCGAACTTAACCACTCGGCCACGGGGCCAGCCCCCATCTTCCTCTATTTTATTTGTGGGATGCCTACCACAGCATGGCTTGCCAAGTGGTGCCATGTCCACACCCGGGATCTGAACCAGCGAACCCCGGGCCCCCAAAGCGGAATGTGTGCACTTAACCTCTGTGCCACTGGGTCGGCCTCTTGACACCCTATTCTCTTCTGGGAAGGGACTCTTAAAAGCTGAATTAAGCCAGTGCCTATTATATTCTTAATGTGCACCTCTCTTCTTGTTTATAAACAGCACTGTGAAGGATGGTGAGATAAAAGGGGCCCTCTCCTTCTAAAATTCATGCTAAATAGTTATACGCAGCACACAGAATTAGCAGAGGAAGCAGTAAGGACCCCTGAAATTACGGGAATAAGGCAAAGCTTCAGATTTTTTTGGTGAAGAAGAGGAATAAAAGTATTTGCTACAGAAATAAGGAGGGGCTGGGAGCGGAGGAGGAGGGCACATATGTGAGAATAAAGTGCAGGAAGGACAAAAAAGGTGAATTCAGAGGAAAATGAGGCTGGCTACCATCTACTGAACGAGCACTTTTCTGTGCCAGGGATTATGCTAAGAACTTGACACACACGTTAACTCTTTTCATTCTCACAAGAACCTTACGAGGTAAGTATACTACCCTTGTTTTCAGATGAGGAAAGGAGGGCACAAGATTACAGAGCTAACATGAGAGGGTATAAAGTCTAAACTCATTTATGATTTCTCCAAATCCATACTCTTAAACCCTATTATGTTGCCTTCACAAAAGTATAATAATTCACAAGTGTTTCAAGAGCCTACTTACCTTTGAGTGGAAAGATAAAAAGAAGCTGTAAGTAGACAGCAGCATTTTCATTTTATGTGGACGTACATCCTAGCATCTTGATAAAAACAATCCTATGAAGTACAATGCTTGACAACACTAAGCAAAATTATGAAGTTTCCCCTTTCCTTCCAAATACGGCAAGCCTCATTAAAAAGGAACGTTACTCCCATGGGTTAAACAGAACAAACTGGGGAAAGGCCCAAAGAAATGTTGTAGCATGTTGTTAATGTAGCAACAACAAAAGCAGACAACAGATAATCTGAGAGCAATTCTTTCGCCCCATCCACATCTATGTACAATGAACTCTACAAGTTAAAAAAACTGAACTATAAACTACCTGCAGAGGAAGATCTTGATAGCTGAGCTTTTTA